CCCCCCCCCGAAAAAAATACTCTGACTGGGAAAGTATCATTTTTTTGTGTTTCACCTTTTGCTCAGCTTGACTTTCTGGTTGTTGGTTTTGGTAGAGCCCCGCATTCTTTTTTTTGAATTTTAATATTGTTCTTATCCTTTTTCAACTTCTCGCTTTTCCTTTCAGAGTTCAGATGCTGATTTGCCCCTCGTCTTTTCTATACGACTGTAGTTTCTTTCAAACATCCATGGCCCTCCCTTCTTCCGATCACGCTCCCCCCCCAGGGCAGTGCTACTGACTGAAGTTGTCTTTAGGCCATTCCCAAAGGGGGGATATTAACATGTTCTTATGCACAGTAGAATTGTACATGGGCTGATTTATAATTAAATCATCAAAGTCATGTTCATACTGTGCCTAAACAACATAGGGGGAACTGCTGCTTTTTCTTTCCTCATCCTTACTATCGTCGTTTTCCCTCTTCTTTTGTTTGTTTGTCACTATCTTGTGAACTGCTATTTCCGGGGTGCCTTGATAGTCGAAGCAGATTTTGTGATGTTGAGGCTAGAGAGGTGAGCAGAGTAAGCCTGATCCCCCGTTTGGACTTCTCTGTTTTCATCCACCCCTAGGCGCTCATATCTTATACAGTTTCGAGCGCCGTAAAACCTTACCAAAACTAAAACTTCCGATCACTAATTTTAACCGTTATGGTTCAGCTTGATTTCTCCTTGACTCGACCCCCTCCCCCCTTTTTTCCACCGCCAAACTCTTAACACCCCCCCCCCCCCAATGTAGGTGTTTTACGGCCTCAGCGACGAAATTTAGATAATTTAGAGGGCAAACACGGGCTGAAAAGGATACAGCATCCCAGACAAAAGACCAAAATACTCCCCACTCTCGCGAATCGAACTCAGATCTCCTGCGTGCGACAGCGAGTGCCCGGCCGCAACACCAAAGACGTCCGTCGTCAAATTTTAATGACTAAGATTGTCTAACTGTACATTTTAAATATGTAAACCTAGAATCAACACTTGTTTTGCCGACAGTCACACTATTTACGCCCATGGTCCTCTTTCCGACTACATACATACATGTAATATAAAAATGTACTCCTATAGCTTCAGTTGTCTTAACCATTCTCATGTTTGTCCATCTGTCGGTTGTTAATGTCACTTGTCCGTCGGTTTGTTTGCTCCCCCCCCCGTCTCTCTCTCTCTGTCTCTCTCTCTCTCTCTCTCTGCATCTGTCTGTCAGTCTGTCTGTCTGTCTGTCTGTCTGTCTGTCTGTCTGTCTGTCTGTCTGTCTGTCTGTCTGGAAGTTTCATGCTTGTCTCGTCTCACTTCACCCTCCATTTTCACCTTCCAAGCATGTTTACATCTCTGCTCTTTTAGTACATTGCTTTTTAAAAAAAATACATTTGTATTTTTGAGTTTTCATGGCTATATATACAGTTGCGGGTGCAGTGGGGCTTTTCGCTTTCTGTATGGTGTTTGTAGGTAGGCTCGTGAACTGGAAGGTGGTGGATGTCGGTGCTAGTGCTATGGCATTGTTGTTGGGAGTTTGTGAGGAAGACTTGGGGGAGCACATGCCATATAGTACAGTATAGGGAAGGAGATCAGGGCAAAATATTTTAAAAAGCGATTATGGTATATTAGACTGATCTTTTGCCTCAGTTTTTCCCCCCGCGACGTAAACATCTTGCTCCCCGCAAAGCTGAAGATTTCCCGCTCAAATGTGAAGTCTGTCTTGTTGTATAGATGGAAACATAATACCTTTCTCAGATTTGCATGAAGAGGATCCAGGTTTTCCTCAACAAGTGTCGTAAAAAGTTACTCGGGGTCAGCTGGAGAGACAGAGTCACCAAAGAAGTGTAAAGGAGAACAAGACTAGAGGCCAGTTTGAGATCAAGTGGGGGGGGGGGGGGGGGGGGGGG